TACTCCCGCTGCAAAGGACCACTGGGCAGTTCAGGTGTGAATCTCATTCGCAGTAATATTCTCGTTTGCATATCGATTGGTTTTTCTATCTCTGTCATTAGCAACTGTGAGTATGGTGTAGAGTTGGAAAGCACTGGTTAATGGATGGTAGTTCCTCGCGTCTAGCGATTGCAGGATTTGAACACGTTTTCGTTGGTGAATGGAAGGGCACGAAAGTTGATGGACAACATTCATGGGTGAAATATTATTTGCTTGAAAAGAGAGGAGCAATCAATTATCACGGTTATATTCGTCATGATGAGGTTGATATTTTTGTCTCCATTATGGTGCGCATAATACGGGTGCGGTATTGATGCAAAGTGATCTTCACCTGGAGGCCATCCCACGAATAAATCTCTGTTTAAGAGGAAGGAAAAAATGATACAAGCATTACAATCTGACTGCCAGAGCCAAAGCAGTGCTTTCTTCTGCAAATGATCGATTGCAATTGCTACTTCGGTTTTTCTTTCGATGAATAATTGCAATAAACAACATTTTTTTGTTGAAAAGGGTTGCAGTAGCTCAGATTCAGAAGCATTCCTCTAGGCTTTAGTTTAGCGCCAACTTTGGTCACTTGCACACGTTCCTTTTAGTACTATTTCTATAGGCCTCAAATGATTGTCATCTTGCATTTTCGCCATCGACTTACTCTACTGAGTGATGGCAACATTCTTTTAGAATCTTGCTGGTACAATACAGTATACATGGGAGACCTATCGTAAACCAATTGGTGGATTCAATATCGGTACTTCACCAGGTCAGTTCATCTAAAATCGGTCCATATCATGTCGTATTTGGGCCTATCTTATCAATTGCAACTAGTGTGCATTAACATTGCATTAAAATTCGTTGCAAATAATCGCGTTCTGCAAAATAATGCGATTGTAAACTTCACATTGTAAACTGTTGCAAACTGTTTTGTTAGAAGTAGCTGCAAGCGGAACAATAGAAGAGAGGTAGGGTATATATTCTCTGATTACTCTAGGCTTCAATATATTGCCTATTAGTGGGTATTTTATGTTTGAATATTTGCA